AGCATACCTGGCCGTCACGTGGACTGACGACATGTTGACATGGAATGCAACGGAAACTGGGATTTATTGGATGCAGTTTTGTCAGGTTAGTTTTTAATGTTAAATAAAGAAGTCTGATATAAAAATATGATATAGTCTGCTTTGGATTTTCCATATTGAAGCTTTGATTTTACTAGAATAAATATACATGTTTTGTTCTAAATAATGATCAAAAACTGAAATCCTATAGCGCTTGGACGTTGAAACTGAAATTCACGAGTTCTTTCATCGATTTCCTCTAAATAAAAAAAATGCTCCAACACTAACTCACCTAGGTGTAGAACTACAACACTAACTCACCTAGGTGTAGAATTACAGACTAGTTTATCTGCATTATATTGAATATCAAAATTTTATGTTCTCTTTCAGAAAGATTTATGGATACCAGACCTGGTGTTGAGTAATGGCTTCACGGCTTTCAAACCTCTGGGTGGTGATTTCTATTATCTTTACGTGGACAGCGATGGATCGGTGTCTTGGTATCCGTACATGGTGTTTGAATCCAAGTGTAAACTCGATGTCTCGTTTTATCCCTTTGACTCACAAACATGTAAAATACAGTTCAAGACCTGGAGCTATAGTCAGTGGGAGGTAAATCTTACCATTGCTGGAGATAAGATTGGCTTTACCGAATTTGTGGAAAACACTGTATGGGAACTGACGTCAACAGATGCGGTAAATGAAGATTCAGACAGTGAACCCACCATTGCGTTTATAATTCATCTCCGGCGTAAATCTTTGTATTATATCATGAATGTGTTTCTTCCTATAATCTTTCTGGGTATTCTCAGTCCCATGGTATTCATTATCCCAGCCGATGCCGGAGAAAAAATGGGTTACGCTGTCACGATTTTTCTGACCTTCGTCGTGTTTCTAACTATTGTCAGTTCAAATCTTCCAGTTAATTCTGACAGTGTCTCGTACATGGCTATGTACCTCGTCATCAAGCTTATGTTTGGCGCCATGATTATCGTCATTACGTCAGTACAATTACGAATTAACCACAGGAAGTCAGAAAGGAAAATTGGGAAGGTGTTCCAAGGTCTGGTAAGGCTGGAGCGTCGTCTGCGGTGTGCAGGTCAAAGATCGGGCTCAGGCTGCTCAGGACGTGTGCAGGGAATCGACCTTCCGGTTATGGAGGACAAAGAAAAGGTAGAGGAGGCAAAGGAGGAGGATATAAGCTGGAACGACGTGTCTTCTGCCATTGACTTTTATTCCTTTTGGTTCCTTGTCATTGCAGATATAGCAGTTACTTCCTCCATATTTACATATACTGCATTGAATTAGCCCCCCCTCCCCCTATACACACAGATAGAGGGAGTATATCAATAATGAATAAGAACGCAATGCTTATAACTTTTATCCTTTAATCACTCAAAATATTTATTTTGAAATAAACCAAAATATATTGCCATGCCATCCTAGGTTTAACGCAGTGCAGCAACGGGAATCAAATCTTGGCCTTTCGACTATGAAGTAAAACTATACCACTAGGCTTCCGTTACTTGTCCGGTTGTTTGATCATGAAGTTTGAAGAATATAAAATACATGTATAAAAAAATAAGTTCGGATTCAAAAATATCTTTGTTTCCCCTAACCCGAACCTAAATTCTCAAGCTGGGTCGATAGGTAGGTAAACATTTTTTTTTCAGACAGCACATTTGGAAATACGTTCTAAAATTTAATGGAAAACTACCTATATAAATAAAAAAGATTCTCAAGTACGCAAACACCAGACATCCGAGTATATTTTTCAAACCTACCATCAGCCTCCAGTGCTTATAGACATTCAATATACTTTTTTGAGGGCCATAAGAATTGCAGTGGTTCTAGAGCATTTTGCTTTGGAGGGGCTAATTTTATGTCGCAGGTTCAAATCCCATTGAGGAACGTTGAATACGGTGAGCTTAATTTCTATTCGTTTCCATGCTCTTGCAGGAGAGCATATTTATGTCCTACAAGAACAGACCAGATACAAGAATGAAAAAGGCAATGTACCAAAAACCCCCAAACTCTATTTCTTCAGAGGGATGAGATAATTATTATCACATTTTTAAAGTACAGATTATTTATTTGCAATATTTTCTAACTTTCAAGGACAGATTATTTATTCGCAATCTTTTTACCTAAATTGCTGTCGTCTAATAAGGGAGCCCAGTTTGCTTTTCAAGAGCACACAGAACATCTCGCTCATTGTCGCAATACAGGGCCAATATTTACGGTTATTTCAAATATTGGGAGGGAGCTATTGTGAACACCGAATCAGGGCTTGAGTCAAGGAGCTAAATCTTGACCAATGAAGTTCTTCGTAATAAACAAATGAACAATCCTCGGATACAATACAAATGAAAATATTATCAAAAACAAATAAAAAATTACAATGCAAACAAAGTAATTATGCTATGCATGGGATGTCAGACGTTTCTGTATCTTTTCTATTTGTATGTATTGTTTATATTTATATTCTCTAATTTTGTATTGTATTTTTTTTTTCCTTTAATGTATCGTATGATTTTTATTTGTATTTCTTAATTTTCCATTTGTATAGTAGATTTTTTTCATTCTTACTGTAATCGATTTTTCTTTCATTTATATAATGTATATGATGATATTTGATTTATACATGTTATAACGGTATGTAGGATTTCATTGGTCAAGATTTAGTCTGAATCGTGCAGAAAATGAGCGAGATGTTAACGTTCTGGGTGCTCTTGAAAAGCAAACCGGAATCCTTCTCGTGTATTTGTGTACATTTATATAGTATATATGAAGAGGGAGTGTTGAATTGTCAATTTATAATATTGTCATTAGAAATGTTGTCTGAGAAAAATAAATAATTTGAATTTGACTGGTAGTACTTCAACCAACCACCCTCAGAAGTCAAGGCATTACGTTTCCGGGTTGATCAGATTTTTTCCTATTCTCCAACCCCCTCCCCAGCCCAGAGAGGTTCCTTATCCCCCAAGGAAATACATATGAAGGGGCCAAGTTATCTTACTGCTTTGAACACTTTACTACAAAAAATGTCAAACAATTTGCGAAAACCAATGAAATCCTTCGTAAAAGAAAAAAAAGAAACAATTACTCGGATACTATAAACATGAAAAATTACACAATACAAATAAAAAATTATACAAATTCATATAAGAATTTACACAATGTAAATGGAAGATATATGAAGCAAATAAAAATTATTTTTACAAATGATTTTTACAATGCAAATGGAAAATTATAGAATGAAAATGGGCATGTATACAATGCAAATAAAAAAATATACGATATAAATAAAAAAGTATACAAAACAAACGGAAAATTAGACAAAGCAAATGGAAAATGAGACAATACAAATGGAAAATAATACAATTGGAAAATTACACAAAAGAGGCCATTCATCTATGAGCAGTAGCCAGTAATTAAGCAGTGGGTGGTTGAAAATGCAGCTATCCTCCATTTCTATGGAGGCGTGACCCAAAGTAAATAATGATATAGATGTTGTTTATTCAATGTAATTATATTCACACAGTAGGATTCTTGTCTTCCTGCGATAATTAACGACCATGATTACACAAATTCTTCTAACTTTAAGATTTTTAGAGTCTTAATATCGAATAATTCCAATTGAATTGTCTCGTTGTTTCAATTAATTTAGATGTACAATACGTCTACATACATGTATTACGACTTTCCATCAATATTATTACTTATAATTCCTAGTGCGAAATGGTTATTTAAGTGTAGAATAGTAGAACGTTGTAATGTTATCTTCAATCTTAATGGATTTTGAAAACTTCGGCAATTTTTATTTATTTATTTATTTTTTGTAATTTCGTTGGATATTAAAGAAACCCAAGTCTGATTTACACCTCATTGTTGTACCTTTTTAACTTTTTAAGCATTGCTGTTCATGTAACCATTTGACAAAAGTCAAAATTCATCTTTTAATTTTCTCAAATGAATCCTTGTCTGTTGAGGTAAAATAAAATGAAATATTATATAAGAGGATTATTTTCGTAATTTTCATTTGCCGAAAGGATGTGATGTTCCTCCTTTTATGATATCGACGCGAAAGTGCGTCGACAGAAATTGACATTGCATGACACGCCCTTGTGACGTAATGACCACGACACGCCAATGTGACGTAATGACAGCCAAGTCTGTTTAGTTAGAACTGTGTCAGTGTATTCTGTGAACGGTCAATATGTAGTTAATGGGACTCATAGCAATTGTTATTGACCGAGGACACAGAACGTGATAGCGACCGAGCCTGCGAGGCCTTATAACAACATATCGACCTATACTGAAGTCCACAATTGTATAATATTTCACTGTTTATTCGAGAACATTTACATTCGCTGTCTTTTTCTACTGAACCAACTGTGAAATTGATTTGAATACCATTTTGGTGTATACCCCCGTTTGTGGAACGTCTGTAATGGTCCGCGTAACAATTAGAACTTGTTTAATATGTTGATTGTGTTTATTTTCATTATTATCTATTTTTTGGCACATGGTCTTGTCATTCATTCAACAATCACATAATATATTGAACTAGTAACTTAAGCTATTCTGTTAATTATACAATAAAAAATCAGAGCAATTTAATAGTGTTTTGTGTTATGACTGAACTCTGTTGATATTAAAAACAAGACATACATTTTAGCTTAATTGAACTTTTTTAAAAAGTTCACTGGCACTCCTGTTATTTAGGCCTAACCATCAGCACTGTTCTTCTTTGTGTCCATCAGAAAATTTGTAAGCTCCGAGCATAAACAAAAGCAATTAACAGCGGACAAGTACATTTAATGAATTTGATTAGAATTGGTTGATGCAGGAGCTCGATAAATTTGTAAATTGATGAATAAGTGTTTATTTAATATAAGAGTACATTTTAGAGACGAAATAATGAAACTCCTTCCGGTAAAAAAATATGAATGTTTCAATTACAATATAATTATAGGAGGTATAAATACGGATGTTTAAATGATTTTATGCACTGAACGCATCAACAGGGCCATGTGTTTTAAAACTGGACAGAAAATGGCCACAGTTTTTCTTCTACTCTCCACCGTGATATTGACGGTACACTGTACTCACCTCTCCCCCACGATAGAGGACTACCAAGCCCTGACCAACAGATTACTGGCTAACTACTCCAGCAAGATCAGACCTATCTGGGATCAGAGTAAGAGCCTCCCCATACAAGTCAGTATGTGGTTAGCGGGTATTAATGACGTCAACGATGTCGCCCAGAAAATGGTTACCACAGCATACCTTGCCGTCACGTGGACAGACGACATGTTGACGTGGAATTCAACGGAAACGGGGATTTATTGGATGCATTTTAGTCAGGCAAGTTTCTCAGGTTAAGTAAAGAAGTCTAAATAAAAACATATTCTATACACATACCGTATATCAGTTTTTTTGGTTTTGGCGTGTTGTAAATTTTGCGAAAAGGGGTTAGATTAGTACAGTTTATATTTTGTTTGTTATTTTTTACAATTAAAGAGCAAGAGCCATGTTGGGCCTTATTTGGCCTTGAGAATTTCTGAAAAATCAAAACCGCTCAGTTTAGGTTGCAAATGCAGTACTTATCACTTGGAGTGTTGGTGCCTACGTTTCTAATAATCCTGACGTAATTTTCCGTCTAGCGAATGCATTATGACGTCATAAAATGCGTCAATTTCCTCCTATTCCGTAAATTCATTTGAAAAGGGCTTAAAGTTGTAGCATTTTTTAAATATTTCATATAGAGCACAACCTCTGATCCAAAATATGCAAATACATAATGAAAGCTCTGTTTCTGGAGATCAAAAAACATGTTTTATTTTTTGGATCGAGGGTTGAACTCATATTTTAATTTTTTGCTGAAGGTAGTTAAATACGTATGTTTTCTGCAAATTTTAAAAATATTGCAATTTCTCAAAGCTGTTTTCCAAGATTTGGATTCCCAAAACGAAATTTTATTATAGAAAATGAAAGCACCAAGTGTACTTTATTTTGACATTTAAAATGCGAAAGAGGGTGATCGTTAATTAATTGATATACGTACATGGCCATTTTATGCATAAGATGACTCTTGCTCTTTTCTGTTCAAAATGGTAGTGATTTTTAGGTCACATTATAGCTGATATAATTTCTGTGTGTTTTATATTTTGCAAATTAAAAATGAACGGAAATACGGTAGTCTATATCTAAATTTTCCAAAATGATGCATAATTTTTACTGGAATAAATATACACGTTTCGTTCTAAGTATAAAATGGTCAGAAACTGAAACCTTATAGCGTTAACGTTTGAACTTTAAAAATGAAACTAACGAGTTCTTTCATTGATTTCCTCTAAATGGAAAAATGCCCAAATCTAACTCAACTAGGTTTACAACTACAGACTACTTAGTACTTTACCTGCATAATAGTGAATATCGAAAGTAAATTTTCTGTTCTCATTCAGAAAGATTTATGGATACCAGACATTGTGTTGAGTAATGGCTTCACAACCTTCAAACCTCTAGGTGGCGATTTCTATTATCTTTTCGTGGACAGCGATGGATCGGTGTCTTGGTATCCGTACATGGTGTTTGAATCCAAGTGTGAACTCGATGTCTCATTTTATCCCTTCGACACACAAACATGTAAAATCCAGTTCAAGTCCTGGAGCTACACGCAGTGGGAGATAAATCTAACCTTTGCTGATGATAAGATTGGGTTTAAGGAATATGTGGAAAACACTGTATGGGAAGTGACGTCAACAGATGCGGTAAATGAAGATTCAAACTTTGAACCCACCATTGCATTTATAATTAATCTCCGGCGTAAATCTTTGTATTACATCATGAATGTGTTTCTTCCTATAATCTTTCTGGGTATTCTCAGTCCCATGGTATTCATTATCCCAGCCGATGCCGGAGAAAAAATGGGCTACGCTGTCACGATTTTTCTGACCTTCGTCGTGTTTCTAACTATTATCAGTTCAAACCTTCCAGTTAATTCTGACAGTGTCTCGTACATGGCTATGTACCTCGTCATCAAGCTTATGTTTGGCGCCATGATTATCGTCATTACGTCAGTACAATTACGAATTAACCGAAGGAAGTCAGAAAGGAAAATCGGGAAGGTGTACCAAGGTCTGGTAAGGCTGGAGCGTCGTCTGCGGTGTGCAGGTCAAAGATCGGGCTCGGGCTGCGCATGCTCAGGACGTGTGCAGGTAATAGACCTTCCGGTTACGGAGGACAAAGAAAAGGCGGAGGAGGCAATGGATGAGGATATAAGCTGGAATGACGTGTCTTCTGCCATTGACTTTTATTCCTTTTGGTTCCTTTTCATTGCAGATATAGCAGTTACTTCCACCATATTTACATATACTGCATTGAATTAGCCCCCCCCCCCCTCCCATCATAAATACAGATACAGGGAGTTGTATATGTTTTTTTTTAAATTCAATTATGAATATTTACATCTACTTTGTTTGACCCTAATAAAAAGCATTATAAAATTACAAGTGATCATTACACATAACTTACAAGACCTAATCACCAATTTGAAGCCTGTCTGGCGTATGAACACAGGGACTGTGTGCCGTTATTTTTAAGCAAATCTAAAAAAAATTGTTTTATATACGATTCATTTGTATTTCTTTGTTGCAAAAATTTAGAATATTATTTGAAATTGAAAAATAAATAAAACTTTGATTACTTTTATCTGTTATAAGTGTGCACTATTTTCTTTCCCGGATTAAGCTGTTCCAAAGGCTTTTCTATCAATTGCAATTTGCATGAAGGATACCATGGGAATTCTAAATAGAAAAAATTGCAGAAAATACAGGAGACACAAAATATCAACAAAAGCACTGAATTATCATTATTTAAAAGCTGCAATTTCATAATCAAAAATATATGAAAATGATATGAATGATAATTAGTAATATTAATTAACTAATTATAATTTACCCTGTGACATTCTCCTTCTATTTGAGAAAAATGTGTCCTCACATTTCATCTCATGAAATAGTACAAAATATATCATCTGAAATAAAAACAGATAAATTTGACTCGATATTGAATTAAAAGAACCACTGTCCTAGATTTGATATCCAGGGTCGACGGAAGAAGTATCTTCTAACCTTGATATAGGTCTACTAATTCTGACATAGTAAATGAACTTTCGATCATAACGTAAATCACTACCACTTCCACTACAACTTCATGGCCTTTCGATCATGAAGTAAATCACTACCACTTGGTTAGCGTTACATGTCCAGTTGTTTGAAATTTGTAGAAGACGATAAGAAATAAAGGAGTAACCTTCAAGTTAACAAGTTCTTTTCCCCCGATGAAGAAGATAAGAAATAAACGAGTAATCTTAACAAGTTCGTTCCCTCCGGTGGAAATATTTTGTGGCACAGTAGAGAGAGCGTGTGGCGCAGTAGACAGAGTGTGTGGCGCAGTGGAGAGAGCGTGTGGCGCAGTAGATAAAGTATGTGGCGCAGTGGATAGAGCGTGTGGCGCAGTGGATAGAGCGTGTGGCGCAGCGGAAAGAGCGTGTGGCGCAGTGGATAGAGCGTGTGGCGCAGTAGATAGAGAGCGTGTGGCGCAGTGGATAGAGTGTCTGGTGCAGTGGATAGAGCGTGTGGTGCAATGGATAAAGTGTGAGACGCAGTAGAGATAGCATGTGGCGCAGTGGAAAAAGCGTGTGGTGCAATGGATAAGGGAACGTGTGGCGCAGTAGATATAGTGTGGCGCAGTGGATAGAGAGTGTGCCGCAGTAGATAGAGTGTGGCGCAATGGAGAGAGTGTGTGTGTTAGTGGAGAAAACCGTGTGGCTCAGTGGATAAAGCGTGTAGATATAGAGCGTGTGGCGCAGTAGATAGAGCGTGTGGCGCAGTAAATAAAGCGTGTGGCGCAATGGAGAGAGTGTGTGGCGCAGTGGATAGAGTGTGTGGCGCAGTGGAGAGAGTGTGTGGCGCAGTAAATAAAGCGTGTGGCGCAATGGAGAGAGTGTGTGGCGCAGTGGATAGAGTGTGTGGTGCAGTGGATAGAGCGTGTGGCGCAGTGGATAGAATATGTGGTGCATTGGATAGAATGTGTGGTGCAGTGGATAGAGCGTGTGGAGCAGTGGATAGAGCGTGTGGAGCAGTGAAGAGAGCGTGTGGCACAGTGGAAAGAGCGTGTACTGTAGCGACGCAGAGTATAAGAGGCTGATCTTTACGTCCCGAGTTCGAATTTATTGCGGGATAAAGAGATCGTATAAATCGAGGTCCTGTATCGCAGTAGGTGGTGGCACGTAAAGTCCCTATGCCAAGTAAAGGTTTAAATTTGCAGCCATCCATCAGAAACGTTAAACAACAAACAAATGCACAGTAAAAACAGATGAATACCGGAAGGTGACAGTGCGCTCCACAAAATCCACGAGTTCGATTAATTCCGAATAGGCTTATCAGGTGATATACCGAGTAAATATATAAGACCCAGCCTCGATAGATTCAGTAACAGTAGCAAGTGACAGGCCATCAGAAAAAACTCCGGTGCGTCTGGGTTTTTTTAGCTTTGCATACTTACTTTGACTTAGAGAGCGTTGCAGGTAGATAGTCTTTGTGAATACGTAATGTTTGTAAAAAGAACTAAAAAATGTATTCATTTGAAAGGCGCGCATGTCTAATGTTCAATTAAAATAAAAAAGGAATATTTTTAAAATATAAAACGATCGATCAAGACCATAATACGGAATTATATATTTACTTTTTTAGACCAGTAAGCATTGTCAAAATAAAATCTATAGCTACAGTAGGATAAAGGTTTTATCTAAAATGATTATACTTAATATTTTAATACTCTTCTGCACACATTTATAAATCTGTATACATGTAGAGAAGGTCTGGGTGACCTTACTTATATTATACAGCATGATGAGTGTTAAATTTTGAATGATCATAAGATTATTATGTAAATTCTTACTGTGTAGTAGATTTTAAAAAAAAATATCATTTTTTGTAAGCTTGTAACCGTCGTGTTTAACAATTAACACACGTATGTGATTTTGGAATTTTTATCCTCCCGCCCGTATTCCGCGCGGCCGTTAGTCCAAGTCTCTCGAGCATGTCCCTCATATGGTTAAATCTTCATCATTTTGAAAATTGTTCTCATGTCTGCACGACAAGCAAGCCACTATTTTCTGGAACTTCCTTTGAAATGCCATCAGCAATGCCAGGGCACGTGCTATGCACTGTTCCCCGCAATTGTAGACAGAGATAATTCGGATTTAATCCTGTAATCCATTGAAGTCTCACTTTGTTCTCGCGATAGTCCCGACACAACGATAATATCAGAGATTTACAAGGGTGAATCAAAGATCACGTTTTACGAGCACAAAATTATCTTAAACGGGAGATCGATTTTACGTTCATCAATTTTTAAATGACTTCACATTAATTTAGCCTTTTAATTTTAATTACATTTTGCCTTGTCAAAATGACCGGCGATTCCTTTTCTTCTTACTTTAATGTGATTTCGATGAGCACAGATTACGTTCTGTCAGCTATAAAACCGCCTTTTGTTGGAGCATGGCGATAAAGTACAGTCTTATGAAGCTACCTTTTTCATGTCTTTTTTTTCTTCAAAATGACTTTAGATAAAATAAAAAGAAATATTGTAAGACAAGAATATTTGATTTATTTATTCAATCCTTCCATTGCTGCATTTTATTATGGTCCAAAGTGTTATATATCAAAATGGTGTTGGTGATCTGAAATTAAGGATTAAACTTTTACATTTTTTGTCTGTATTAACATGATGAAATATCAAAACTCTGCTTACCGACCGGCCCGTAAGACGTTAGAACAAATTTATAATGTTAATTCAACAACACAATTTCAAATTTTAATGCAATACTTTTTATTATGTTTGTATGTAAATATTTTTTCTTTACTGTCTGCATGTAACTATTTATTTGGGTAATTACAGTTTTGCATTTTGTTCTTAATTGTATCACGCAATTTAATTAGTCAATACTAATTTTCAGTTCTTTGAATTGGTGTGTGCAGGTTTGCTGGACTACACATTTCCCGCGCACCATTGTTGGTACAGAGTTGATTTCTAGCAACACTGCTATTCAAGAATTGATTTACATGTAGATATACAACTGTATATAATCATAATCAGATATAAGACTTGATTTTAAGTTTTATGACTAAATATAAATCAGGAGATGAACATTTTAAAAGACATCTATAGTTTGAAGTGTATATTGAACTGAGTGAACAATTTAACACTAATACCAGGGGTATATTAATAATACAAAATTAAATATGGATAAATATTGCAGCAATAAGTTTGTTAAGAAAATTAAAGTACGTGCATATTGTTTTGTTGGTAAGCTTCTAGCGTGGATAATCCTGAACCGGGTTTCACGTTACAATATCAAGATTTTTCGTCCAAGAAATCTACCACAAAATGTTCCCATTCCATTCCTTAAATATTACTAGTAGATATGTAATGTAACACCCAAAGAATAACGTTAATTTTTTTTCAATTGCCATAGCTATCGGCGCATTATCAAGCCTTAAAAAACGAATCGATATAAAACTGGTGTATGACAGTTAAAATTCTATTTTGTGAAATAAAGATATGTTTTAAAACCATAAAATACATTCAGCTATCGATTAAGACGTTTTCTCAATATTTCAACATATGATACAAATTAATCAACATGTGTTCTGTTCTTCCAGACTTTTTGTATGTCGATCCTCCCTAACGTACATCTCTAAGTTTTTAATTACAGGGTCTTATAGATATAAACAGTAATTTTGACTTCTGTCTCTCTTTTTCTTCACTGCAAACACACCATGGTACGATTTATGGATTATATGTAGGTGTCACTCAGGCTTCTCCCCGGGTATCCGATACACGAAGAAAGAAAAATGCAGTAAAACGCTCAACTGACCAGCTCAATATAAATTGATAACTCAATCATCGAAGTCAATCAGAATCACTGCAGCGTTTGACAGGTTTAGGATCCGTGTATTTTCAACACATGCCTCGTATGAACGCGATCATTGTCGACCATTGGTCAAGTCCAACGGCCATCTTGACAAAGTTTTTGTGAGCATCTCAAAAAAGTTTCTTCCGTCGTTAAACGATGATTATATTTGCTGATAGCCACTCCATTCGGCCATTTGTCCACCAGGCGTCTTAATCCGCATAGAAGATTAGCGATATCGGTCCAGCACTTCAAAGGGCGCGGAACAATTTGTGAAATAGGACATTTCTTTCGTTTTATGACCATACGGTCAGATTTATAGACTGACCATAATCTAAATTCACTTCTTGTATCTGAAAATCGAAATGGACCTTTGGGCATCTTAAAGGTGTTTGTAGCTTGGAC